CAAAGCTAAACGATTCCAAAAATTCCCAAAGAAGTGCTTGACACGACTATTTCAAGAAATGAATTTCAATTTCGAAGTATCTGGCACTGAACGATACAAGACAGTCAATGTTAGGAAACTCTTCGTGATAGCTAAAAAAATCCAAGTTGATACTATACAACGCTATTAAAGGTTGACCGCTTTTTTGTTCAATTGCAAATTACACCGGTAACGGATACGTACAAATAGAATCCGACCGCTTCCACCGACCGGAAAGAGTGACCCTCCAAAAGACAGACAACAAAACAGGCTGTGAAGGAAATTTGCATGTCCGTCAACGTGTCAAGAAGTGTTTATCATTATCGGTCAACTACTGTCAGATCAGTGATAAAATTTCTTCTTGGCTAACACGTACTTCTGTATTTGAGATTCAAAACTACCTTTGTTCTAAACGCACTGCGGCCAAATGGTAATTACTAAGGACTCGCTCTTTGATATTAAAGTCTCCCTACCCTAAGAGGAAACTCTACGAAACAAATTGCGTGGAAAAGTTCTCAGCTGAATGTTTTTTGGTTGCTTGTCTCGGTTGACTATATGGAAATAAGGACACCCTACTTTTAAATTGCTCTTGTATTGAGTCTTGGCCTTTTCTGTCCATACCCTATGCGGTTTGAGAAACAATTGGAATATGCCAGCTAGGTAACGCATCCTGAAACAGACTGAAGCCTCCTCTACTGGTAAGTGGCTCGAGAAATAAACTGCTGTGAGCTCGAAAAATAGTTATTTGCAAGCGAGGCAAGCTTGAATCGCTCTATGTCTGCGGAACGTTCCTCAGTAGGCGGCAGGACTATCTGTGTTTCATTTTAGACTATTTATCCTAGATGAGTATATTTGTGTGAGCTATCCAATGAAGCTGTCTCATCTTGCAATACGATGTGCTTCTTCCACCTGTGTTACAATCGGGTAGTTGCTACCAGCTCGTCCCATCTCGCTGTGTAACGTTTCTTTAGATACTCCACGACTAGTTTTTTCATTTCTTCAATACGTTCCTGTTAGTTCAAACGATAAAAGATTTAAATTAAAAGGTAGGCCCAAAAGCAAAAACATCCATGAACAGTTATTGATGTGACACAGTGTAATGCGGTGTACACGACGTTAAATGTTCTTTGCTTCATAACTTTCTCATAACAGTTTTAAGCCGGTCTTGATAATTAATTTGTTTTCGGGTGGTGTGCCAAAGTTACATGGCAGCCATAAAAATTCCTAGTAAAAGTAAACATAGATCCAAAGTCAAATTTCAATATTCAGTTCAGTGTAAATTTCCTTTGACACTCAGTACAATGAAGTAGTTAAAAAAGGGCCCCATCTTCAAATAAACAAGTGTGCATTACACACGCAAGGGTAATTTTAACCGTTTGTCGCAAAAAATGTTGACCGTAACGTTTTTTTCTTTCAATCGAAACGGAACGAAATTAACCGTTAGCTAAAATAATAAAATAGCTAAAACCTCAACCGTTGGCCTTAAAAGCCATTACCCCGTTGAGACCCTCCATTTCAGTTAACCCTTTAACTCCCAAGATTTGATTGTTAATTCCCCTCTCTGGCTGCAACACATTTCCTTGTAAATTGGTTAAGAGAATTTGGTGTTCAATCAAGGTAATATCTTGTACCCGATGAGTTTGAGTATTCTCATTACCAGTTTGCTGAAAAATGTAAGGATTTTATAGGGAGAAGTTCCGTATTAATCACTTCTAGGATTTAAAGGGTTAAGTGCAATTTAAACATCCACAAATTTGATATCAAAAGCCAAATCAAATAAATTAAGTTTTATGATTGAGAAAATCAAAATAATGGATTTATCTTTTAGATATAATATGTGACACTATGATAAACACCAGTCACGTTTTAAACATATTCTCAGATTGAAGTTCAACTCGGCGTGAGATGTCTCGCAAAATTGTAACGCAGAATTGGAAACTTTTGCCAAAGAAAAAACAAAAGCGTACGGAAAATTCCCTCGCAGCAAATGTTTAATTTTTGAAATATTTTACAGGCCAAAATTTCATAGCCATTTAGATAAAGGAAAAATTTCAATTAAGGAAACCCACAATCCTTGACACAATCAGTTGGGACTTTTCTCCAGAGCAACGTGTTTGATGTTCTTTCCTGTCTTTGTATCTTCCAATATTATTAATTGCCAATGTGTCTATGCCATCTTGCAGACTGACAGTGAGACGGGCAGGGGGAGGCAGTAGGTGTGTTGTAACATGGGACACTTACGGCTGTGGTTCTCGTTTTAGGTTTTATGCTAGTATTGAATTTTCTCTGAAAGGAAAGAGTTGCTATTGTTGTTGTTTTGTAAAATTGAGGTCATAGTTACTTAGGCTGGTTGACAGTGTCTGATGTATTTGTCCAAGACGTAGCTCAAATGCGTTGATAAAGAAATAAAACTAATATTTTAAATGAAAGACTGTCAGATACCTCATTTGGTGATTGGGGGTCTCTGCAGCATTTACACTCTTTTATTTTCTCCCAGAATGCTTTAAAGCGATTTGCTTGGTCATTTTCCCCCTGTAAAAAAAGCATAAGTAACTGAAGTACGAGTTCCCTGTGGGTTCAGAGGTTACCCTTTGCGAACAGACATCCGTGGAGAATCCCAGAGGGGGAGAGGATGGGGGCGTCTGTGCCTGCCACGATAGTACCATACGGGAAAAAAGATGTCGTCCGTCATTTAACTTCACAAGGAATTTGGGTTCAGATGGACACATGTAGGAAAGTTAAGAGAATGCCTCGCCTGCCAAAATTACCCCTTTGGATACGCCAGACGAGGTATAAATAATTTAATATTTCAATGAATAAGGGGAAAAGCGTGGGAAGAAACTGGTAAAGAGTAAAGATTGAGAGGTAAGTGTTTAGGGATGACGGGAAACAGGAGATATGGGAAGAGTTAGGGATATGAGAGAATGGATGAGGAGTGACAAATCACAAGCAAGAGGGGGGTAGGGAGGGGGGGCAGAGCAGAGATGAAGGAGGTTTCACCATGGGAAAAGTCGTCATCTCCTGAGAACCTCAGTCTATAGAAAAGTGAAACAGATGCAACCTCAAGAAATCAGGAAACAATTAAGTTGTGTCTGACCTGTTGTCTTATGGGATGGTACTGAAATGCGTGTCTTGTTCCCTGCTTCGCGCCATTTTGTCCCTAATTGAAATTAAAAAAATGATGGTAGAAATAGTACTCCTAATAATAATGATAATGACGATGATTATGATAATAATTATGAAGACAAAGATAAAGATGATAACAATGATCATGATGGTGATAATGAAGAGAGTAATCGGACGAGCTATTTCAAACTGGCTGTGCGCAAAGCGAATAAGAAACTCCGGAAATAATTAGAGGAGTTACTCAATGATAAAAAAAGAGTGACAAACACCAGATACTCAATTTGTTGGTCTAATTATGTGATTCAAATATGCTTATGTCTTGTCATCTATTAATTATATATAAGTTACATCTAACCTCCTCTGATGACGGGAAATCTGCAACACTGTCACCATTTCCCCGCTCAACGTCAGTTTGTCTCTAAAAAAAACACAAACTGTTACCGAAATTGCATTTAATTGAAGGTATTGTCTATGGAGGAGAATTCCCAATTCAGATTTTTAAATTTTTTTCAGGTGATATTGGTGATATCCAGTCATAAAAGTATCCCTTAATCAATGATATTAACCATTTAACTTGAAACAATTTAATGGCAAGATCTGCGGCTTGCTTGTCATGTAACTAACCGTTTCCTGATGTGACAATCGCCCCATCGAAAAAGATTGAAGAAATAAATTGATCTTACTCTGGGTCTCATTCAGTAAACAGTGAAGCTCCTAACTCCCCTCGACTGTGCCGCTCATTCACACCTTTGGCTTCCACTCGCAAATAAATATTTCTGCTACGTTGGCCACTTACACCTTCGCAGCAACACTTTTTAAAGCATTCTGAAAATAAACAGCGCAGTATGAAGTACAAGAGGTTGAACGGCACGGGAACATTATTTATTCTATCGATCCATTCCAACCACATCTGAGTCCTTGTAAACTTCCACTCCACATCTGCGTTTTCCTGAGAATGAAGAAAAATGTGTTCTATTGCTTTAGCGAAACCTACATTAGTCATGATTCAAAAACACATTGCCTACAGTTGGTGCTCCTTAAGTTCGACATCCCAAAATCATTTGCCACTAATCTTGTTGTTCCTGTGTATGCATGTTTTTTTTTCCAAAGACTTTCAATTGTGGAAAACCAATTAGATGTATTCTTAAAGTGTTTTTCGGAAAGAGAGCTATCAGTGACCAAGAGAACAAGTTTGAGAAAAGTTTGAAAAGCTTGTGATCAGGCGATTATGTCTTTTGAATCTACGTGTAGCCGACGTATTTGGAACCATTGCCAAAGAAAAAAAATATTCACCATGATCCTGTTGAAAGAGTTGTTCATCATTGCGATCAGCATGTTCAAAGCTACAATGACTGTACAAATCACATGGGCAATAACAAAAAGGTGGCCAAAGGTGGAGGTGAGGGAAAAAGCGGGATCCTTAACCGTGATTTTGTCTTCTTCCACGAGACCAAGCAACAGCCAGAACATTTCGAGGAAGGTGTTTGTGTGCCTGAAAACAAATGAGACGAATACAAGATTTGAGAAAGAAAGGCTTGGTTGATGATTAGGTACGATAACCTCTGTCACTTTCAACGTAACTGAATCGTCGATCTTCTGTAAAGGCTCGGTTGACGCAGGACATAGGTTGTTACTTGTGACGGCCGAATATTTATCTGAACATGATTAAACTGCTTTCTAAGTTCAAATGATGGTCGTGTCTCCCTGGTGTTCAGATTCTGATCGGGTGTGATGTTACTAGGTAATGCAAATTGGCCACTGTAAAGAGTTTCAAAGCTGGCGTTTCGAGCGTTAGCTCTTCGTCAGAGCGAAACGTCTAACGCTAACGTTCGAAACGTCAGCTTTGAAACTCTGGTGGCCAATTTACATTATCAACTCAGTTGATAAAACCAAAATTATGTTATTATACTCCGCCACCGACGCAGCACCGCAGTTTCTTTAGAATCTTGCCCTCTTTATTCATTTATGATCTTATATATCTGACAAATGAGAGACTTTTACCGAAAAAAATTAAAATCTTGTGAGATTTACGAGCTGTGAAGCAAACATAAGTAAGGTAAGGCAATTTGGTTCTACCAACACTTCGCTAAAGTAATCAATTGACCACTGTGAAGAGCTTCAAAAGCTGATATTTGGAGCATTCGCCCTTCGTCAGAGCCAATGAAGAAAAGATAACGCTCGAAATGTCAGCTGTAGAAGGTCTTTCTGGTGGCCAATTTACATCATCAACATATTAATTGTATGTTGACAGAACCAAATTATCTTGTAATGCCCCTCAACGACGCAGCACTACAGTTTTCTTAGAAACTTGCCCCCTTTGATTAGTATTGTATTTGCACAAGTATACGTACATTGCATATGGATGAGACACCTGGGGATGACTGGTGGCGTTCTGTTTATACAGCTCTATCTGAGAGGCGACATAGTACGAGTAAATCTTGGCCACGCCCGTGGTGAATGCTATATAAAGAAGAAGGAAGATGCCAAGAAACTTGAGGACATCTTTCAACATTTTATAGAGGGACAGTTGCAAGGGACCCAGCGTTGAATGGACTTGGAAAATGTGCGCCAAGTGGAAAAATGCCACCACAGAGCCACTGGCATAAATGGCGTCAGCCACGATAAACGCCTGTTTCTCAGGTTTCCACCCTCCGTAAGATCCCCATGCACCCACCCAGACTGTGTAGGACGACAGAAATGTGAAGACAATGACTGTGGCAACAACATTCCACCATTTTGAAAAGTAATTAAAGAAGCCCTGCCTGCAGAGCTCGTTTAACTCCTGCAGAAGTAGACCAAATACGAAGGCAAGAACAGCGTAGTCTGTTGAAAAAAAAAAGCAAAGCTATCAAGCTTTACCTAACACAAATTGACCTCTGTGCGACGGCTGGTTCTACTGAAAAATGTTGTCGTTATCCCTCCGAAACCAGTATGTGACGACATCACCTAAATTTAAAACTAAGCAGATGCTTTACCCAAATTGGAAAATTAACAACTGATACGACTCCTATATTACATGCCGAAAGGTTTCTTCACCATGAAATAGCTCTGAGTGCACTAAGATATTTGCGCTCTGGTACAATATTTCCCTTATATTTTACTACTCCAGCCCGTGTTGCCTTCCCCTTTAGCCAAGCTCTCGCAAGAATGAAGCCAAATCTATCGTCACCCAAAGAATACCATACTCATTTTCTCATGTAAAATACTTTGGTAGTTTGATTATAAAGCTTCTTCTTACCAATTGTCACCATCTCAGGACCTTCTCGTGTTATCTTAAACTCATTCCGATAAGACGAGGCGAAGACAAGACAAAGGAACAGCACGTAAGACATCGTCTGGTTGATGAACTTTGAATAGGGATGTTCGTAAAGTTTCCTAAATTTCCAGAAGCATTTGTCCTCAAATTGCCCACGACAGCAGCATCTGCGAATCAGTCGTAGAGGAATGTATACTATACTGGCGAGGGAGACAAGAAGAAATTGAACAAGAAACAATATAGCTTTTGTCATGAATCCTTCATCCTGCCACTTTCGCCAGCCAAGATAAATGATCTCATTGAGAATATACTGGCACTTGGGACTCGTCACGAACTGAAAATTAAAAACAATTCTATTATAAAACAGTAAATATATATAGAGTTTAAACAAAATATTAGCTTTAATCTGTCAAGTGAGTTATCTATTACTCTTTTTTTGGATAATGTACACTGAATTATATGCTAATTCGTTACTGATCTTTCTATGGAGGCCCTTTTCAGTGCATATTCAAAGGGATTTGATAACTGCGTGCTTTTTCTTTAGTCTCCTTCGCAGCAGTTGTTTAGTCTTATCACGCAACGAGCTCTATTCCCCACGACGAGACCAAACAACGGCTGTGAAGGAGACTTCTTGCCTTTAGGAATTAAAAATACCCGAAAAGGCTAAAAATACTGATATTTCAATCGCAGTTTGAGTTTTTTAGCGTAGTTTGAGTGAAAATGTTTAGACGTTATGGTTCATTGATTTCTTAGGCATAGGTCGCACTTGGCAAAGTTTTACGAGAATTTGTTTACCTTGCGGTCAAAATCTGTCAACGAGACACTTTTCCTAGTGCGACCCTAACTTTAAGGGTTTGTAAGATTTTTGGAAATCGGCAAAAACATCAAAGGCGCCGTAGTGCTTGGCTGGGGCAGGCAGATTTCGGAAAACTCGAGGTTACAATAGCAAAAGGACGATGAGGACAGGAAAATGGTTAAATCTGCCTTGTTAGGACTTGAAACTTAACGTTCTGACATGAATTCTTTCGTAACCAATTTTTCCAGACTACAAGAACCCGCGATCAAACGATAATACTGTTATACACTTATTGTACTTCACGTGAATGAATATTTCAAAGTTTAACCTTTGACGTCATTTCTTAGAGCTCGTCTACCGAGATCATTTTCATTTCCCGGAATTTGAACGAAGCGAATTTGTTTTGTGGGTTCTTCGAAACGGAAACAACAGAAAGCTAGTTTACCATAACTATATATTTCACTTTCTGTCAAAGTGACATTTTTGTCGTTTATAGCTATTTTAAAACGGTTGAATCTGCAATCAAAGAACTTCAAATGCTGTATTTCAATAAACTTAAAAAGTTTTGACAATCTTACCAACTTCCGTTGTTTATCTGCTGCTTTCTTTAACAGACTGAGACTTTGAATAAAATCTTTCGGCGCCTTATTTAGTAATGGTCCTTTTCCTTCGATATCAATGATTTTAGAGAGCTGTGAGGCACCGGCTTGCTCGATGATATCAACGGCAAATTGTTCATATTCCTTTGCACCACCTAAGTATTCATCTCGGCTGTAGTGATGTTCATACGCTGCCACTTTCTCAAGAAGGTAAGAATCGTCAAGGGCTGCTTCAATTACGTCTGTTGACTTACTTCCTCTGCGTCTGGTTCGTTTGTTTGTTTCTGGGTTTGTTTGTTGGTTTGACTTGGGATTCATTCTCCAGAGATATTCTAGACTAATGTACAGCGGGTTGCTCAGTACTCTGATCCAAGTCTGTTCTTCTTCGCTTGGTATTCCTTTCCTTTGATCGCTATCGTCCTCAATATATGAGAGTGTGATCCAGCTTTTTATTGCGCAGAACAAGGTACACAGTTTCCCACAAGAAAAACGAGAGACACATTTCCAAGAGCACCCATCCTCTTTAATGTTCTCCTCTTCCGCGATGGATCTCCACACATCGCTTAGGCCTTCAAGTATGGCATCCTTATCTTGCTTCTTGGTCTCGACTATCAGTTTCCATACTTCAATAACATTCCTCTTCTGGAGAGCGTTTTCAAGTTGCTTCAGAAGAGGAATCTCTGGATTCTCGTTATCCGTTCTTATACAGCGCGACAAGAAATTATCTACCTCTGCCTTCGTTTCTGTCTCTATTTTAAACAGAAAATCATCGAAGCTTTTACTTTCTGGCCGAGCTGGTTGGATATCTGGTGGATTGCACTGCGCCATATTGTTGCCATCAATGGCACACCTACAACGGAAATAGTTGGGTTACTATGGAGATTACCTGAGTTATGCGGCTCACTAGTCACGAGTTGGGGGTTGCTGACCTATCGCAATGTACGGGTTGCTACTACACGTACCTGAACGGGATCACTTTCTCTGCTAAAGTCGTTCATGTCACACAACGTCACGGGATAATTCTTGTGAACAGGACGGCAGATGATAATGCGCATGCAGATCTAACTGGAGGCGTACCGGGCTTATAAGAGCTGAGTTTATTTTCCATTTTCTACCTAATCTAATTGTTCAGCAGATTTTGGTGTATCAAAGTGCACTATTATACATAACCGTTTAAATAAATACGCGAACCACAGCTGTTTGCTTGCAGCATGCGGAGATGTTGTAACAACGGTTTGAAGTTTTAAAGTCCTGTATGACGAAATTTGTTCTCATGATCTTGTTTCTGTCAAGAGTGGCAAACATAGAATACCGGTTTACTGTGGTTCATCTTGTCAATACACTCTGCAGAAAATCGAAAACTCGCAAAGATTATGATTTAGAGAGGTGCACTCATTACGTGCTATTAATTAAGATGGAATAGGTGGCCGGAAATTTCATTGAATGTCTTGCTAAAATTAAATATCGTTTAATTACGGTGAACGACGTGAGAAACATCTGAAGTGCTGATGAAAAAAAAAAATTTGTAATTTGTTTTTACCCTAGAGAACCTCTCTCCGCCCTGTTCTGAAGTACTAAACCCAGAATGTCCCTCCCTCCCTGAAACTTGACGTATGCGCTTCAGCGCAAAGGAATCATGGGATATAACGGATAGACCATCGGATATGGGAAATTTTCAACATCCGGTTGCTTCTCGTGTACCCAAACACGCAGAACGGGTTAGAGTCTGAGAATAACTACGCTTGTCGAAAGGAAACTACTTGATGAGACAATAGCTTGAAAATATAAGAACATTATTTTTAATTTTTCTTCGCCTAGAACATGAAATGGTGAAAAAAAGATTAAGTCATTTACCTTACAGACTATCCGGTAACAGGGTTACATATACTTTTAATAATTCTCTTTTTTCTCCCTTGAAGCGGTAGAGAGAATTGGCCCGAATGGGAGGTTTGACAATAAAATAATTCAGCTTGTTTATGATATATTTACTTTATTGCTCAACTGGCAAAATCACTGCTGCTCAGAGGAAAAAACAACGTCGCTTCTTATCTCCTGTGAATACGATAAATCTAATATGCGCAAGTGTTACTAACAATTTATTCTTTTCAAAACAAATATTTTGACGTCTTTTGTCGGATCTTCAATTGGCTCTATCCAAAAACTAAAACAGGAAATTTCGAATGAAGGAATTATTTTCGTTCAAGACGAACCTTTCCACTCAAGTGCCTGAACATCTAAAGACGCTTAAAGCGAGCCAGTTTGACAAAAGATTTATCCTCATTGCTTTGCTGTGAACGGTCATGTAAACGGCGCCTGAAAGTAAATTTTATCCTTGGAAAAATTAATCAAGCACGAAAAAAGAAAGCGCCTGTTCCAAGAAGTAGGTGATGCGGAAAATATACGTGATCTAATTTGATCTCAAGTTAGTTTTAAATTTAAACTTACATTTTGGACGCCGGAATAACACTAATGGTGCTTATTCAAGTACTACTTTTGTTTTTCCTGTTTTTTATCCATAATTGTTATTTGATTTTTTTAAGAATTTCGCATCTAATATGAAACTTTTTAGAGAGGATTCAAGTTCAGCAAAAAGTCGGTATATTTATTTAATTATTCGTTTCCTTCATTTCCTTATCTTTTCTTAGCGTATATGTTTTTTTGTATCTTTCTTGACATCTGCCGGGTTTTAATTCTGAAAAGACTGTATGAACAGTTTGACGCCTTAAAGCCTTGCTTGTTAATTATAAAAGGCATACAAGAAACCTTTTTCTGGCAGCAAGGGAAATTAAACGTTCTTTAAGGGAAATACAAATTACGAGTTTTTTTCATTAGTACTTTCGTTTTCGATGAGTTCTCGAAATCGGAAATGCACTTTTCAAAACTTCATTTGCTATAATTTGATTCGTGACGCAAGGAATAATTTTGTTTACGATAATGTTCTGCTTTCTATGCGGTAACCTAGAGCAAAGTTTGATAAGAATTAACTGATTTGATCGAAAGTCACCTTTGAGCTTTGAGCTGATAAAAAAAACGAAAACTCCTGCAGTGCTGGCGGCGAGATAATATTTTGCATTACAATGCGGAGATCTTGATGGATCTGATCAGAGAACCTCTGACGGTTATGTACGTGACTTCAAAGCTGGTTTCCCGGACAACATTATACTGATAATTCAGAGCCATGGGCAATTACTTTTGTCATTCATAATACCATATGAGGAATTTATTATTCAATGAAAAAGAAAAGCTAAAAAAGATCATGTTCTAGAAACGCAATTAATTCTAAAGAACCCTCAAGAGAGACGGTGTCTTCAAACAACAACACCAGGTGTTATAAAAGCGTTAGAGTTGGATGGTAAAGAAAGTTCGGTCACCTCGCCTAATATTGTCTTAAAATTCTGAGAACAGAAAAAAGCACTCTCGAACAAACAGCTGCAGTTGGAATGGAAAAGTGGTTAGGTTTTTTCGGTTGGCTCTTTTCAGTTTCTACAGCCGTGGGAAATGGCTTTGTGATCTTTCTCGTCGCCAAAAAACGCCGACTTCATTCCTCAGCCAACTGGTTGGTTCTTTCCCTGGCAATGGCCGATTTTTTGGTCGGAGCTGTTGCTTATCCACTGGCCTATTTTTGTACTAGCTTAGGTTGTAACTTCAAATTGTACACACCATTTTTCTGGTTCTTCGTGCACTCTTCGGTAACGAATCTTTGCGCATTGACATGGAATCGTTACTCCTACATCGTATACCCTTTCAGCTACAAAACCTCCATGACTGAGAGACGCACAAAAACGGTTATCTTGTCGGCATGGTTGGTCCCCTTCGCGATTTTTCTGACTCTTTTGGTGGGTTTATACATTGCGAAGTCGAACACCGCGCTAATAGTTCTTCGATTGACAGGTGTTTCGGCATTCGATTTAATATCAGGTGCGTTGCTTTTATACGCAGTTGTTCGTATATTCAGAGTCGCACGTATGCAGGCTTACAGGGAATTCTCTGTCAAGCTACAAGTGCAGTCTACCCAAACATTTTGTGAAGAAACAAGTATTCCCAAATATCAGAGGCAGAACAAAGCGCACTTCGTGATTGCCATCGTTATTTTATTCTTCCTCTGCCACTTAGCTGTAAATGGAATGATTTTGTGGGTCATGTTCTCTACTCGTGTCGTACATGAGGCTGCACAAGGAGTCCAGCTTCTGCTAATTATAAACTCGGCGGTAAATCCTTTCGTTTACGCGTTTTTAAAGAGTGACATCAGGATTGAGATAACAAAGCTGATCACTAATCATAGGTCCACACAATTCCTTTCCAGTCTTTCTAGGACCTCTAGTTCGCCTGCGCATGCGTAAGAACACTTAATGTAAGATACGGGATGACCACATGTAAATATTTTTCTTCACTGCCTGACGATAAAAATGAATCATCGTGTAAGTCGTCTGAGTTGATTATAAACTGGGCGAGTCATCGATAGAAACTGGTAACTACATGTCCCCTCTCATACTAGTACTCAGGGTCTCTCCGATTCCTATTGCCCTCGGCAGAGGACTAGATCAAGGGGAACCTTTACTCCGTCTGGTCATAATTCTCTCTCTCCCTCGGGCTGAGAAGGGGGGTTACTTTAGAAGCAAAATTGACCCCCTGTTTGGCAGTTCGTTTTCTATAGTCCCTCTTGATCTACTCTTTTAGCGTCGACTGATACGCCCTTCCGTTACCACTGAGAACCATGTGATTACCTAAAAAAATTTTCCCTTCCTCCCCCATCCCCTCAACCCCCGCCCAGCGATAAAAAAATTATTGGCCTCTCATCTAAAGGTCCGAGAAACAGACTTCTTTTGGGTCTAAAGCAACA